CGAGCTCGCATCTGCCGAGGTGTGCGCGACTCAAGCTACATAGAGCGACATTAACCCGGGGCTGCTGCTGCTGATAGCGGGTGGTGGTGGTGGGGGCTGCTGGCGGTGCTCAGTGAGCTTTGGCGACGCCGGTGCTCCTTCCTTTCCCTCATTCCTCCCTCCCTTCGAGACTGTCTGCAAACTTCACTCGTCGCGAACGCCTCCTTCTCATCCTCTCCTCGGGCTCCTCCTCATGCTGCAGATGCCCCTTTGCCCCATTGCGGCTCTAGCAGCAGCAGTAGCAGCAGCAGCAGCAGAGCGCTCCATCTGCGCGTGAGGTGAGAGCTGTTGTGGACGCGAAGTTGTACACACACACACCGTGCAGTCGTGTACATACACTTGCATGCGTGCGTGTGATAGAGAGAGAACACACTGCAAAAACATTAGCTGGGCTCTATGCAATACTGCCGCAAGGTAATTCATGACATGGAGTGATAATTATGGATTAATGAATGCACTTTAACAGCGATGATGATGATGATGATGATAATAATGACTGCCGAGTCAGGATGATGATTGATGATTATGATCATGAAAAGTTGCCGTAAGACAATGCCCCTGCGTGCACCTTCACACGGAGGTGATAACTATGACTGGATGATGATGATCACCGACTTCAGATTCGTTTATTACGAGTATCATGTCATTCGCATCTACATTGTATACGATTCTAACATTTACAGATGGCAGTATAATAGCGAATACAGAATTCCTACCTTCGTAAAGACACCTTAGTCGACTAAAACGATGTTCAAACGTAAAGAGACCACGTACTGTCAAGTAAGTGGATACTGTATCAGTTAGTACTTGACACCGGTAGCGGGCATTGTCTGGTTACCTGTCGACTTTAGGGTCACACACTTCACTTAGTTTACCGATGATGGGAATATTATGTTTGTAATGGTTTAGCACGATACCTAAAGCAACTGAGGATCAAAGTCAACTTAGGCCGACCCTGCCACTCGGTGAGCAGAACCAAATCAACCTCTTGGCAGTAAATCTGTATATATTTTGGCGGGGGACCCCAATTCGAAAAAAGCCGGATTTCAACTTTCGAGTTAGAAAGTGTTACACTGTTTCAGTTGAGACATTAAGAGACCCGGAGAGAGTGGCCGGCGATCGCTACATTTACAACAACCCAAAAAACCCAGATGAAATAAAAGTACAGCAATGAAGCAAAGAGATATTAGAGCAAAAAGCAACTGTGCCAAATGGGAAATATTGCACAAACATAAATCTGTGTTCTCGAATACATTTGGGTGCCGTGTCATCAGCCTCCTCCTATCCCTTTGAGAATAACATTAGAATTCAGTCGCGATGCGCTGCCTGTCTTATACGTATAAAAAAATACCCTGCAGAGTTTTGCGCACACGGTTACATAACGCCTCTCGGTTCGTATCACACTCCACGTTGATTCACTCGCGTGCGGGAGACGCGCACGGCCTGATAACTCTGTGTGCGCGCACGTGTGTGTGATATCGTGTGTATTATGTGTGTGTGTGTGCATATAAGGGGAGCGGTGGCGTAGTGGTTAGCACGCTGCGCTAAAAATCCGGCTGATCAGAGTTCGATTCCTGCTCACAGGAAACATCGGTGACGAATTTCTGACCCAGCCTTAAATGAGTACATGGTGCGTTGTCTGATACATCGGCATTGGAGAGACAAAGGCGTCCGGGCGTGGTGCTAAACACACAAGCCCCTCTCGTGTGCCGTCCCTGCCTTAATAGGTGCACGCTAACAGCACATGCCCCCACAGTTTGTTAAAGGCTATATGGGGACCTTTGTATTTGTGTTGTCTGTATATATGCTCACTAACAGCACATGCCCTCAGTTCACACAGCCAAACGGGAGGAAAGAGTTTGGTGTGCATCTCAGTCCGTTAACCCATATCAACTTGTGTCTGTCCCATGATCTCCATCTAGCCGGCGAGGCTTCGACACTGCACGTGGATTTCAGAGTGTACCTAGCCTGGCACAAGGTCCATCTGGGGCGACGCCTCTGCCACTTTAGTGGCGAACGTCAGCTCTTGCTGCGTGTATGTACGTGTCGTAGGGGATGAACGCCTTGAATCTACGAGCGAAGTGATGGAGTGATGCCCGTGCGTGCAGATGCGGGAATAATGAACGCATCGATTGGAGGTTACTCACCGTGATCCGTGCACCGGGATGATGTGAATGCTCCATGGTTACACACATACGTACATATTTATTTTGAACAAAAAAATATATACAAAATAAAAAGGATATTTATTTCACCAGGTGAGGCCCATTGAGCTGTATAGCTCTTTTTCAGAAGCGACCTGGCTATTACAAATGATAGCTCAACGAAGTGGTGGCTTAGCATGTAGAAATGTATTGCAGTCACACGCTCTAAGCGCACGTTTCCAAATGTGGAGGGAAACCCCGGAGAAACATCCACGCGATCACGGGGAGAGGAGAAACGCAAACTCCAAATATACAGCAGCAGGCGTCAGGGTCGGAATCGGACCCACACGACCTCCTGCATACCAGGCGAGGGAGTTAACATCTCGCCACCGCTGTAAAATATCAATCCATTTGCCATCTTCACGGCTGATACCATGAAGGACTGGATGCTGTATTGTTGCACATCGTTGGCGTGTTAAAGTACAACTTTATGAGATTATCAGATCGATGAATATTGCTTCTGTAGATGATGATAAAAATGAGTGTGTCCTCTGCGCGTGCGAGTACACGTGTCTATGCGTTTGAATGCTGTCGGAGAGGTTTATGTCATTGTTGTGTACAACATTCTTTCTAGATTTGAAGCTTTCGTGACTGCAAGGATTCATACTCTTTGGTTTTTTTCGGTAAAGCCACGTAGGCAAAAAAATATCAATAAAATAAAAAATAAATGAAAATAAATAAATAAACTCACGACGTTTCGGAGGCAACACAAGCTTCCTTCATCAGGTGTGTACAACAATTGTTAGTGTTGTGTGCCAACAGCACTTGCCCCAATAGTCTGTTATGGCTATATGGAGGGGGGGTCTTTGTCTTTTGTATGTGTTGACTGTGTGTGTGCGTGTTGTGCATGGTGTGTCTTACATGTTTGCGGGGTATGTGTACATTCTGTACGTGTGCCTGTGTTGGCCGTGTACGGTACGAAATAAGTTCAACATACATACACACTCGAGTTTAACAGAACTTGCCCACAGAGTATACTTAGGAAAAAAAATGTGTGGAAGCAACTCTAGTTAAACTTGAGGAAGCTTCCAATCTCTGTTCGCGTGTTGAATACTAACCCGTCATTCTGTCTGCAGAGTGAGATTTATACCCTCGACAAATTAGCTCTAATTAATACGGGACTTCGCCCACACGGCAAACGATCGCTATATTAACAGCAGCGAGGAAGACGGATCACGTTTACTTAGCAGAAAAGCACGACACTCGTCTGCGAAGCCGAGTTAAAATCCGGACCTGGATCAAGCCGGGCCATCATCCCTCTGCGGTCGCTAAAATGAGCATCGCCTGGTGATGGATACGCTAATTGGTAATAATTGAGTAATAAGGATGAGAGAGCCCACGATAGACCTGGTCTTGTCATTGGAACGTGGAATTGTATACTCACCAGTATAGAGAAGGAGGACGCGGTGGCACCCGCGCTGCGAACCGGGCGGCATGAGTTCGACTCTCACCCACGGCCAACAACGAGAGGCGAATGATCTCTGTACCGGCCCCGGGCACGCACACACCCCTCAACTATTCGCAACGAGAAGTTTCGTGAAGTGTGGTCAAACTCCATGACAAATATTAAGTGGGAGGCCCTTCTTCATCCAGAAGTGGATTTACAAAGTTCCAAAGAGCATTCCTATTTGAGTGGCACAAAGGGCATCGACGCCGACTTTGTGTGGTTCGGTCGATTTTTTTTGGTGACTACAAGGGAGGCTGTTATCCGGTGTGCTTGATTCGGAGATTCTTACGTCATTTTCACTTTACAAAATAAGTCATTACCGACTTGATGACTGCTCAACACGTTCCACGTGGTGTTACAGCACGCCGATTGACCTGAATAAGCACCCGATAACGCATCGCGCGGATGCACAACGCCCCGCTCAAGATATATCTGCCTTAAATCGAATCAGCTCTGGCGACATTACGTGGAACACAAAGACAAAGACACGTGCGCGGGATCTCTTCATCAGAATCAGCGCTCTCCATGGCACATGGGATATGTTTAGCAATCATCTGGCGCGTGCAGCGTGCACACAATGTTGCATTTGAAAGGAGGTGAATTGGTAAACTCTAAAATAGGTACCGTGGTGGTGCGCGAGTCTGGCAGTGTGGGATATCTGTTTTCAAAAACACAAATATGGATGAGAGCATTTATTGGCTTCGAAGTCCGACGTTTCAAGTGACGTTTTCTTTGCTCTTCCAAATGCCCGTGGCACTTGTTACTCGCGCCGCACTCGAGTAGAGGGGCGCCTCACGAGTGTGGATGTGGATTTGTAGGGGGTGGGGGTGGACGCGTTATTCTCACGGTGAGAGCGACACGAGAGATCGATGGAGACGCCCGCTCGGGATTCCTGACGTTAACCCTGATCTCCAGTCACGCGCGTGTGCGTGTGCGATTGAATGTGCGGTGTGTGTGTGTGCGTGTGCTCATGTGTGTAGCTGTTAGCGCGCTGCGCTATGAACCTGGCTACCCAAGTTCCATTCCCGCTCGCGGCCAACACTAATGACGATTATCTGAATTGGTCCTGGGTCTCCCCTAGGACGACTGAGCCTCAAATGAGTACCTGGTGCGGTGCGTACACATCGCCACTAGGGAGACAAAGGCAGCCGGGCGTGGTGCTGGCCACCCTCCCCCTCGTGTGCCGTTCCGCCCTTTATAGGTGCTCGCTAACAGCACTTGCCCCAACAGTCTGGGGGATCTTTGTCTTTGTAGGGCCTGGTGCTGGCAACCCACCCCTTTGTGTACCGCGCAAGTACTAATAGTTGCTCGCTAACAGCACTTGCCCAGTCTGTTAAGACTCTACGCCGGATATTTTTCTATGTAAGGGAGCGGTAGGGTAGCGGGTACGATTCCCGCACACGGACAACACCAGTGACGATTATTTTAACTGGACCTCCCCTAGGTCGAGTGCAGTGTGTAAAAAAATGAACACTGCCGAGAGAAAAGCGGACGGGCGTGGTGTGGGCCCCACCACCTGGTGTTTTTGATGACAACACTTGCCCCAACATTCTGTTAAAGGCTGCACGGAGGATCTCCTTGCCTTTTATGTGCGGGGGTCTAATTGTCCCAGGATATGTAAGTGGGTTTCTTGGCCTTAGCCTGTGAATGCCTTTGAGCAAAACGATTCTTAGAAGGGACATCGGAAACGTTGCATAGACCATGTTGAATTCATAACTTAGCACACGCTATTCTGAAAATAATTAGTAATGTTAGAGACCATTATTTAAAAGAACACAGGGTGAGAGTGAATAGGTTTATTTTCAATCAAAAATATAATACACATCATTCAAAGCAGCAACATAATTTGAAACATCACCACTCCAAGTTGTTTCTTTGATTCCTTAGATTAGGAGTGGGAAACCTTTATCTTACTGAGGGCTAAATAGAGCTTTCAGATACCTTTTGGCAGGCCACACATTAACACACAGACGCCTCAATCACTTCTGTTACTTCAAAAGGCCCCTTGCAGCGACAGGGACTGTGTTGCCAGATAAAAACTACTCCCCTCTCATACCGGTACCTGAAATTACACAGCATACGAGCAAATACTCTGCGGTACAGACTTAAAATCAACCTTGCTACAATGTGACATTTACTTATGTTACTAAATCAGCAGCATTTCTTTCAAATTCCTAATACCGCTGATGAAATTCAGAAGGTCAAAACCCGTCCAGTGTTTGCAAGCTAAAACAAATAGTGCTCGGTGAGATCGGCCTGAAAAGCAGAGAAGGCCAATGGCCTAAAAGGTTTATTTCCCATTCATCTGTAGACAGGAAACACAATTACATTTCGAGTATATTCTCTTTAGACACAACATACCACTACAACACTGGGAATGTTGTGGTTAAAAAAAATACAACGTAATGAACCTAAACGTAGGTCCAGGTCACGATCAAGCTGGAGAGACATGTAGGGGATTAAACAGGGATTAGATCCAACACCACCGCACATTTTATTTGTTTTGCTGTTGGCAATAGAGGTGATGTATGTTTGTTGTGGAAGTGTTAACGATGCATTTAATCACGTGTTTTGTTTCAGATTGGGTGCTCAGGTGTACGTACTCTGTGTGGTTCATTGTGGAAACATATATTTCCCAGATCCTCCTTGTTTAGTCGGTCGGCCTCTAAAATGTACATTATTGGGCTCAATATGATATTCGTGAGCAGTTTAAATATGTGTGAGAATAAGCCGAGGGTTCTAAAAACACTTAAAATGATTTTTTTTGTCCTCAAAATTGAAAAGAACGATTGAGCCATCATTCAACGATTGAGGCACTGCATTAATGTGAAAATCTTTCATTGTTTCGATAGCTGGTCCCACTTCTTTTATGATGTCCGTAGTTATTCTACTCGGTCGAGAACATTTTCCTTCTTCATGCGATGGAAAGTGGTGACTGCCATCATCATCATCCATACGTCACATTATGATACTTAAAGTTACGTAGCACTTTCCAGTACGTGTCAGTACAATAACAATCACAGTCGTAGTAACCTACATTTCACCAGATTCATTATTTAATCAGGTGAAAGAACACTGCACAATCTACTCTATTAGGGAGATACCTGGGGGGGGATATAGTCACGTGGAGTAACAGTTGCAGAATCTTTACATTTCTGAAATTTGGATGCTTGCTCTTACAAATGTGCTCACAGTCTCTAAATGACACACAGATGGCATCAAACCGGTATATTGTCACAGGAATCTCTGGCTGCCTACGCAAAACGAACGGTCTGCTGAGTAAACCGACTTGGTGGAATGCATGTCAATCCTTGAGAGAAGGTCACATTGCCACGCTTCACGCATCCTCGCTGCACAGATTGCTTTGTGAAGCAGTTGGATCATGCACCTGTCACACCCTGCGCAGCGGGACCTGATGTGACGCATCACGTGGTACGCAGCAGCCACTGCCGCCACTGCCGCCGCTTCGTTTTGGGCTGTAAGCTCAGAGAGGACCACTCGAGAATGTACCCCAACCACGCAGCACCCGCGCGCCAGTGTGCGGGAGAGAGCGAGGAGATGGACTTGAAGTGAGCCGCTACAATCCCGCACGCAGATGTTCTCGAGGCAGGTTTATCGATGCGTTGAGTCATCGACGAATTTGCCACTCGTGCAAATGCTGTGCTATCGTTACATTTAGGCAAATGGAGCGGAGAGAATTTTTACAAACGAGATGGAGAAAATTTTACAAAGCCATACGAATGAGATGATAAAAACGAGACGAGAAGCAATTGAATTGTGACCTGTGTCTCTTCTAAAGTATCCAATGGCCAGTTGCATTCAATTCCTTAAGTTACATACCCCCTTTAACTTATACCGACTTTTATTGCATACTAGGATTAATATGACTTAAGATATGTGATGCAACCCATCACAGACCAACTCGTCTCTCCTCGGGTTTCCACTCCCCTTGGCCGATTCCTCTCGGGGGGTCCAGACCATTTTCATTACTCTAAATTTTCAGGGGATAAAAGCCCCTTAGCTGCCCACCTTGGAGGCTCAAACCTCTTGGATTCCTCTGTCCCATCAGTAGTCCAGGCCCTTTGACATTGATATTAGCCGCGGCTGTGAACTGAACTCAGCTAATGGAGTTAATAATGCCGTGCGCAGACCTCTGTTCCTCCACCGCCACCACCAGCGGAGTGATTAAAATGCCTCATTATTATACTCAGGATCCATACATGACATCGTATGTTTACGATTCATGTAAAGTATATGGAAATGGTATGCTTATGTTAATCGATAGAGCAAACACAACTGTAGAATAAAGCAGACAAAATAAACACAAACAAGAGAGCAAAAAGAAAACAACAAATATTCGGGAAGAATCCTGAAGCTGCCCTTGGCTCAGTCAACCTTGGGAATGAACACAGAAACCCTAATACTCCTTGATGTATACCTCTGGCCCAAACTCCTGACTGTTGTCTTCTTGAAGAGGATGACAAAATTTCAATCATAAAATGAGTCACAGCAGCTGGCTCTAAGCCCACAGCTGACACCCATCATCCACATTCACTGATAGCCACAGCAATGTACAGCCAAAGCAACATACAGACAGAAATCGAGAGATCAGAGTGAACAGCAAATGGCCAATTATCCAAATTCAGACTTGGTGAGATTTTCCTGGACAAGTAAATGGCATTGCTATGTTGTTGTGGTTGTTGTTATTAAAGCCAACGACCAACATTGAACAACCAACAACCTACGGCTCACAACCTGCAGAAGCAAAACTTAATTAAGTGTATGTTTTAGTATTAGATTTAAAACCAGATTATTCTTGTAATTTGGATTTTTAAGTGTTTGCTATTAAACGTCCAATAATGGGAAACTGTTATATGCTAATAAAACTTGAGGCTGTACCGCCACCGCAGGCACGTGAGAGATGGCGATGGACTGGGAAGCCCTTCAGTCAGCATCGCTAAAAAAATATATTCTACTTTCTCTAAATGTGACTGTTCACAGGGCCCCACTTTGCCGAGTGCAACCACCGACTGTAAGTCGGTTACTGTCTCTGTTGTCTCTCTGTGTGCACACACTCTGAATGAGGGCCGCTGTTCAAAACATCAGCCTACCATAATATATTTTCCTTTACACGACAACATGGGACAAAAGCAATGCTTACATCCAGTTGCTCACAGCTAACTCTCTTAAAACTACTTAGGCAGCAATGCACAAACAAAATATTTTGAATGACTTTACTTCACCAATTGAACATCTTTTGGAATTAAACTAAATATATATCAGGTCTCAAAATCAATCTATAGAGTAAGCAATTTTGGTTATTTTTTTAAATAATTAATTGCACATATTATTGACACGTAGCATTTCCACTATTACGTTCAGTGTTATCAAATACAACTCAACACGTTAACTCAATAATACACACATTCGTAAATAATCAGATATTTTGCAAACGCCTCAATTTGTTGATATTCAGGAATGGAGACTTTTTAATAACTCTGCAAAAGCCAAGGAGTTTTCTCGCAAATCTACAAATCGTTACATGCACTGATCCCTTGACATCAAAGTGAAACAAAATACTTGGTGAAATTGTGTTGGCAGTGGTGCACAATCACAAATAATAATAAAAACATTTGTCAATAACAATATATGGTCTTAAAAGTGAAAAATGTATAAACAAGTGATCATTCTGGAAAGGGCCCTTCTTCACGGCAGGTAAATTGAAAAGCCAGAGAGAAAATAAAAGTTGTTGGAGATTGCACTATACACCATAACAAATATTACATTTTCTGAAGTTTTAAGTTCACATATGCAGTGTTAACTCTTAGCATTGTAGATATTGAGTAAAAGACAGACTCTTAAATAACCAAACATGTATCCTCAACTTGTTAAAAGTAAAATATTCGCACTTTGAATTGTGGCTAGCCATGTAGTCACGTGATATTTTAGTTAAGAGAAGCCCATTGCATCGCAGTGAGTAACAGCGAGTGTGCTGTTTAAAATGTATTTGGTCGCACACACGATCCACTGCTGGATGGAGATTTCCCCAAGCCGTCGCCTGCCATCTCTCAGGGTGCCGTGATGTACTAATCCACCGAGCATCTACAAAGTTGATTTTGTCGCTCCCTCTCCGTGGCGGACGGTCTCTCCGGCACGTTCCATCCCTCGGCTGCCACCAAGTCGTCATTCACGACCACTGTACCATCATCTTTTCTATGCCCCCCACCAATTAGCCCCATGCATTGCAAGTTGTACAAGCTGTGTACGCTCATGTATTGTGGCATTACTGCCAACCCAATGGAAACACGCATCATGTGTTGCTGGTGTTGACATTACATACGCTAGGGGAAAATGGGGCATTGCAATCATCATTCACTCCTCTAGCAGGAAGTCCACGGACCAATGGCAATAAATGCGTCGCCCTTTACAAATGCGACATTAGCGATATTGACGACAAATCGGTCACGGATAATAGAGTAATTTGTCACTGGTTGAATTTCGCGTATGTATGTATATCGTATATATATATACCGTATATGCATAACGAATCGTATCATGTTCATACAATTGTGGTGACCTAGCTTTGAAACTCACTGGCAATTGCTATGCAAAATTAGCCTTCGCAAATACGACTGCATGAATCATCCACAGTTAATAGTATCATTTGTCACCGGTTGAACCGTATGTGTATACAGGATTACACATATATGTATTAGGGTAATGCCGCGCTTGGGGATGCACGTACAAGTGGAAGGATATAGGAGGTGGGGCAAACAGAAAGCCTGGAGGGGATAAATACGATGGGAATATACCTAGAAAACAAGGGATTGAGATTGAACACAGCGGTAATGCTGGCTAAAGAAAAATAACCGCAGAGATTTGTTTAGCCCTATCGTCGTTAATGAGCTGAGAGAAGGGAAAGATGAAGATGATTAGGAATAGTCGTGTAGCGGAGAGAATTCTACCGACCGAAACTTTTATTCCTAGCTGTGCAACTTGCTGGCAATTAATACGCCAACGTCACCTTAGCAAATATGATCTGCATGAATACTACAGTGTATATGACGGCAAGGCAGCCAGGCCGAACGGCAGGTTTAACAAAATAAATAATTCGCAAAATAGAGAAGCGACCGCCGTTGTGACGCTGACGCCCATCGCGTTGGCGAGGGTCAAGCGTGGAACGTGAACCGGTGAGCTGGGTGCTTCGCCAGGGCACCCCACCGCATGGCAGCCCGAATCCCACCCATTAGCACCTTCATTAACGTCGGCGCTGCTTCACCTAATCGAATGGCCCGCGTGGCACGCACTCGGCACCTCGGAGGGACGCTTGGTTGCGCCGAGCCCATTTATATGATCGCGGGTGCGCGCACGCAGGCACGCGCGCGGACGGACGAGAGCGTGCTCGCTCCTGTCATTATTGACCTGACGTGTGTTGTTAAGGCGCCCGGGCACTCGCGCCGGCCAAGATTGATTGCTGTAATGAGTGAGCACGCATGAAGCCCTGCGGCGCTGTCGTTTCGCCCGCCTGGCGCTTTTGCGGAGGGATGAGACCAACTCCTCCAGCGAGAGGAGCCGGATTCGGTGGGATTGAACCTGGGTTCATCGATGACACGGCTCAGGCAATTGTTAGCACTGGGGAACAATGACGAACAGACCGATGCTCTGCTTGAAGCTACAGACCCTAAGGGGTTATTGGAGAACGAACAGAAACAGGGCAGTTGACTGATGTTTCTCAATAGCCCACTTAGTAGGCACATTAACGATTAATTGATAAATTACTTACAGATTCCGTAATTATCTAAATGTACACTTTTTGTCTTTCCCCCCAAATATTATGCAAACTGTGCTATCGGCATCATGCCATGAGGCAATCATCCATTCAGATATTTCTGTGTTAGAGAACAGCCGGTGGAAGCAGATATCACAGAGCTACGTCTCCCCTTCACGTGACCTCTGGTGCACAACGCAGATGGTATACTAGTCTTACATGCAGTTTATTAGAGACATTAACACTGCAACAAATTAGTCAACAACAAAAACAAAAAGAACCAATATAAACGACACGGTAAACCAGAGATAGAAAATTAATAGATTCTTGCTTCAACCGGAAACCCTGCATCATAATTCATTAAAAAAAAATCGCTCGGAGTCAGAATCATTCCGCGCAACCGAGCATCCCACTCCTCATCCTGCGGACACGTTTATGTAAATTAGGAGGAGAGGGATTAAACAGAGGAGAAAGTTGATGTGCAGAGGCTTTCCGTACCCAGCAATCATTGCTCCCCTGGTGCTCTACAATTTGACGGGGATGAATGTTTTTCAGGGACCCAGCGCTGGGCTGTGTGGTCCCAGTGAGTGTTCAAAAAACGCTTATTTTATAAGTATTATAATTGCAGGCAATTCTTCACATTTGACACCGTGAGTGCCTCGCACTTTATGCCAATTAAACTTGCACGGAAAATGGGCTGTCACGAGTCCAAAGCTCAATTTTTTTGGACTGCTATAATTTCTTTCCCATCTGGAGCACAGCGGGTTAAAACTTATTTCAATTTATTCCATCCACAAGATGTTTCTGGAAACAGAGATTCTATTTAGTTGACAACAACAACAAAAAACAACAACAAAAAACAACGCGTTTACTTTACTGTACCTGGAAAATGTTGTCTCGTTAACGAGTACGCGTGGTGATGAAGACGATTCGTCTGGTGAAAAGGGAAGAGTGGGAGAGGAAGGAAACGGATCAGTCGGTGGCACGACGCGAGAAGTTTGAAGGCGCTCTTCATGAGAGACACCGGAGATCGCAAAATATGGAGAGCATCTGGCATAACCGCCAGCCCTCAGTCACGAGGAATACACTCGACAGACAGAACGGGTACATGGAGAGAACTTTCATATCCCAGGATGTCGTGTCAGACAATGTATTCTGAACCCTCCACCTCCTAAAGCACTGGTGTTTTTCGCTGTACAATAGCTCATCTTAAAGGGTTTGATATGAATACTGTGGTAAAAATAAGACGCATTAACCTTGATGTTGTTGGGAAGTCACCGAAATACCGTTTAAAATGTATTACTCATGAAAGTAACAACTCATCATATCACACAATTTGTATTTATGTCATCTACATACAACAGCGTCACAAGACGTTGTACATGCGCATTGCGTGAACAGTGATATATACACATTATATATTCTAAAGAAGAGACAATTAGTGATAGCCAAAGGAGATGACGATGGTCTTGAGCCTTGACTTGAACAGGGGCCATGGAATCGACAGCACGTCTGGCTGGGAGGAGGAAGTTCCATATTGCGGGGGCAACAGAGGAGAGAGAGTGACCTCTAACCTCCAAACAACAAACTGGTTGTTTGGAGATGGCCTGCGTGGATCAGGAGGCTAATGCAGTGCCAGAGCACTGAGCGAGCAGTGCCGAGATTCTGGGCTCACATCGAGAGACCGAAATAAGAAATGCATGGATGACAGAACAAATTAACAAGGTTAGAGACTTAATTCAAAGAGGGGTACATGCACTATAATAAAAAAAGGCTCTCTATTGAACCAGTTCAATGTTCTCAGCTTATATACTATGGGACCTTTTTTTGCCAGTATCCAAAATGATGAAAAATAAGAAATGCCAGAAAGGGTGAAACCTATTTTTATGTTTCATCATTTTGTTCTCAGCCTGTTTACCAATTCCTTTACAAACAAACCTTCATGTATGGTTTTTACTTACGTTGGTATATTTCCAGATCTGGTCTCTAAAAAATTATCGTCACATGACAAACTCCTTTACAGTAGAGCATGTGAGACTCTGCACATTTATCTGTAAAGAAGACAATTGTTGGAGCCTCAGTAGTAGTTCTGTGATATCCCCTTCCAAGAGGCCAATTCTCTAATAAGGGGTTGTGCACTGCTTACTGTGACGGTTCCAATGGAGATGTCTTCATCCCGTGACATAATGCCGATAATAATAATCATCATCAGCCATGACCAATCCACTGCTGGATGAAAGCTTTCCTAAGTAGCCGCCGTCTCTTGCGATCCTGCAATGTAACAATCCGCCTAGCATCTGTACACGAACTGATTGTGTTGCTCCATCTCCTTGGCAGACGATCTCTTAGATACGTTCCATTCCTTGGCTGCCGATTAACCTCACCACAGCGAACTTTACGAAGTTTGAGTTGCGTATTTAAACTGCGCGTTCTCCAATCCGCGTGCTCCTCTTTCCATCTCTCAATGCAAATCCAAGAACGCATATCCCGGTGCTTCTTTGTGCACTCTTCCGCTTTTTGTTCCACTTCCTATTCCGTGAACGACCGTGTTTCTGAACCATGCGTCGTAGCAGGCAGCACGCACTGATGGAAATCTTTATCGTTGTGTGCCGATGGTATAATCGGTGGTATATATATATGAAAGAGACACCAAACGGCCGTGACGTGGAATTCACGGTTGTAGATGATGGCCACAAAAGGAGCCTACGGCTCGGCGAGTGTGCCACGCATTTCCAGGAGCCAGACTGGCCATGGAGTGAGTTTTCTTGGGCTGGGCTATGAACACACACACGGTGCCCTCTGTAACTACACATCCAGCACTGGTGCTTGCTCGTCGAAGCCGTGTTTAGCTAATGGACGAGCACGTACGGGTGTAATTACACAGGTAAAAGATCCTCGGTGTAGAGACGCGCGCGGAGAGTTATGCGCGGCGCTTGCCCAATGCCCTTGAGTTTCCTTTTGGCAGCGATTGGCACAGGGCCACTGAAACTCTTGCCAAAGCACAACGTCAGCCCGTACATACAAATGCAAAAAATACCGTGGCTCTCTATGGAAAATAACACCGCGGCATCGATAGCATCAGGCGTGCATTGGTAATGATAATGCTTCATGGAAACGGCTGAGGGCCTTTGGGGAACAGATGTGAACCCACGAACGTGGCTTTCCATTCACGCACGAGGTGTGCCCTGAGCGAGAAAACCGGAGTGCGTTGTGTCGTTTCACAGAGAGGAAAGAGCACGTGGTACCCGAAGTGATGGAACAATCCATCTATCCCCTGCACACGGGCTGATTTCATCTCTTCGCGCAGGATATCTTCTCAGGTGCTTTGTGGCGACCGCTGCATGCATCCTGGTTGATGATGATGAATATAATAATAATGAGTTGTCGTAACTGTAGATGATACATTATAATGTACAGTAATACACTTTGGGTTTATGTATCCAAACGCATTGGCATATGAAGGCACCACGCACATGGGGTGACACACGCATGGGGATGATTGGAAAAGAGCAATTTTATATTTATTTTCGGAGGAGAGTGCAGAAATGGCACGGAGATGGCCGTACGGGGAAGAAGAGATGGTAGTGTGGTGAAGGTGAGATGGTAGTATGGTGAAGATGAGATGGTAGTAGGGTGAAGATGAGATGGTAGTATGGTGAAGATGAGATGGTAGTGTGGTGAATATGTGATGGTAGTGTGGTGAAGATGATGGTAGTATGGTGAAGATGAGATGGTAGTGTGGTGAAGATGAGATGGTAGTGTGGTGAAGGTGAGATGGTAGTGTGGTGAAGGTGAGATGGTAGTGTGGTGAAGATGATGGTAGTGTGGTGAAGATGAGATGGTAGTGTGGTGAAGGTGAGATGGTAGTGTGGTGAAGATGAGATGGTAGTGTGGTGAAGATGAGATGGTAGTGTGGTGAAGGTGAGATGGTAGTGTGGTAAAAGTGAGATGGCAGTATGGTGAAGGTGAGATGGTAGTATGGTGAAGATGAGATGGTAGTGTGGTGAAGATGAGATGGTAGTGTGGTGAAGATGAGATGGTAGTATAGTGAAGATGAGATGGTAGTATGGTGAAGATGAGATGGTAGTGTGGTGAAGGTGAGATGGTAGTGTGGTGAAGATGAGATGGTAGTGTGGTGAAGGTGAGATGGTAGTTTGGTGAAGATGAGATGGCAGTGTGGTGAAGATGAGATGGTAGTGTGGTGAAGATGAGATGGTAGTGTGGTGAAGGTGAGATGGTAGTGTGGTGAAGATGAGATGGTAGTGTGGTGAAGGTGAGATGGTAGTGTGGTGAAAGTGAGATGGCAGTATGGTGAAGGTGAGATGGTAGTATGGTGAAGATGAGATGGTAGTGTGGTGAAGGTGAGATGGTAGTGTGGTGAAGATGAGATGGTAGTGTGGTGAAGATGAGATGGAAGTGTGGTGAAGATGAGATGGTAGTGTGGTGAAGATGAGATGGTAGTGTGGTGAAGGTGAGATGGTAGTGTGGTGAAGATGAGATGGTAGTGTGGTGAAGGTGAGATGGTAGTGTGGTGAAGATGAGATGGTAGTGTGGTGAAGATGAGATGGTAGTGTGGATGAGATGAGATGGTAGTGTGGTGAAAGTGAGATGGCAGTATGGTGAAGGTGAGATGGTAGTATGGTGAAGATGAGATCGTAGTGTGATGAAGATGAGATGGTAGTGTGGTGAAGATGAGATGGTAGTATGGTGAAGGTGAGATGGTAGTATGGTGAAGGTGAGATGGTAGTGTGGTGAAGGTGAGATGGTAGTATGGTGAAGATGAGATGGCAGTATGGTGAAGGTGAGATGATAGTGTGGTGAAGATGATGGTAGTGTGGTGAAGGTGAGATGGTAGTGTGGTGTTAGATGATATGGAAGTATGTTGCAGGTGAGATGGTAGTATGGTGAAGATGAGATGGTAGTATGGTGAAGGTGAGATGGTAGTGTGGTGAAGGTGAGATGGCAGTGTGGTGAAGGTGAGATGGTAGTGTGGTGAAGATGAGATGGTAGTGTGGTGAATATGTGATGGTAGTGTGGTGAAGATGATGGCAGTGTGGTGAAGATGTGATGGTAGTATGGTGAAGATGATGACATTGTGGTGAAGATGTGATGGTAGTATGGTGAAGGTGAGATGGTAGTGTGGTGAAGATGAGATGGTAGTGTGGTGAAGGTGAGATGGTAGTGTGGTGAAGGTGAGATGGTAGTGTGGTGAAGGTGTGATGGTAGTATGGTGAAGATGAGATGGCAGTATGGTGAAGGTGAGATGATAGTGTGGTGAAGATGATGGTAGTGTGGTGAAGGTGAGATGGTAGTGTGGTGAAGATGATGGTAGTGTGGTGAAGATGAGATGGTAGTGTGGTGAAGGTGAGATGGTAGTATGGTGAAGATGAGATGGTAGTGTGGTGAAGGTGAGATGGCAGTGTGGTGAAGATGAGATGGTAGTGTGGTGAAGATGATGGTAGTGTGGTGAAGATGAGATGGTAGTGTGGTGAAGGTGAGATGGTAGTGTGGTGATAATGTGATGGTAGTGTGGTGAAGATGAGATGGTAGTGTAGTGAAGGTGAGATGGTAGTGTGGTGAAGATGAGATGGTAGTGTGGTGAAGATGTGATGGTAGTGTGTTGAAGGTGAGATGGCAGTGTGGTGAAGATGTGATGGTAGTATGGTGAAAATGAGATGGTAGTGTAGTGAAGGTGAGATGGTAGTGTGGTGAAGGTGATGGTAGTGTGGTGAAGATGAGATGGTAGTGTGGTGAAGATGAGATGGTAGTGTGGTGAAGGTGATGGTAGTGTGTTGAAGGTGAGATGGTAGTGTAGTGAAGATGAGATGGCAGTGTGGTGAAGATGTGATGGTAGTGTGTTGAAGGTGAGGTGGCAGTGTGGTGAATATGTGATGGTAGTATGGTGAAGATGTGATGGTAGTGTGGTGAAGATGTGATGGTAGTATGGTGAAGATGATGGCAGTGTGGTGAAGATGAGATGGTAGTGTGGTGAAGATGAGATGGTAGTGTAGTGAAGATGAGATGGTAGTGTGGTGAAGATGAGATGGTAGTATGGTGAAGATGATGGTAGTGTGGTGAAGATGAGATGGTGGTGTGGTGAAGGTGATGGTAGTGTAGTGAAGATGAGATGGTAGTGTGGTGAAGATGAGATGGTAGTATGGTGAAGGTGAGATGGTAGTGTAGTGAAGATGAGATGGTAGTGTGGTGAAGATGAGATGGTAGTGTAGTGAAGATGAGATGGCAGTATGGTGAAGGTGAGATGGTAGTGTGGTGAAGGTGAGATGGTAGTATGGTGAAGATGAGATGGTAGTATGGTGACTATGTGATGGTAGTGTGGTGAAGGTGAGATGGTAGTGTGGTGAAGATGAGATGGTAGTGTGGTGAAGATGAGATGGTAGTGTGGTGAAGGTGAGATGGTAGTGTGGTGAAGATGTGATGGTAGTGTGGTGAAGGTGAGATGGTAGTATGGTGAAGATGAGATGGTAGTGTGGTGAAGATGAGATGGTAGTATGGTGAAGATGATGGTAGTGTGGTGAAGATGAGATGGTATTGTGGTGAAGGTGAGATGGTAGTATGGTGAAGATGAGATGGTAGTATGGTGAATATGTGATGGTAGTGTGGTGAAGGTGAGATGGTAGTGTGATGAAGATGAGATGGTAGTGTGGTGAAGATGAGATGGTAGTGTGGTGAAGGTGAGATGGTAGTGTGGGGAAGATGATGGTAGTGTGGTGAAGGTGAGATGGTAGTATGGTGAAGATGAGATGGTAGTGTGGTGAAGGTGAGATGGTAGTGTGGTGAAGATGCGATGGTAGTGTGGTGAAGGTGAGATGGTAGTGTAGTGAAGATGAGATGAAAGTATGGTGAAGATGATAGTGGTATGGTGAAGATGCGAAATTACATGTTTTTACATTTGGGTTTCGTCAATACAGCACACAGACACCAAAAGATGAAGCGATCTGATTTAAAACATCTCTAGACACGGATGTGCTGACTTTGACACTTGAACAGAGACAGCGATAGTTGCAGAAGAAACATCTTGAGCCTGTATTTGAATTGGGCAGATGACATTAGCGTAACAGCGATGGATTCATAATGATGAGCATGATTACATTAGACAGTACTCTGCGTATGTTATGATCGCGATGATACTACTCTGTTTTCGCTGTGATGATGATGATGAGGATTGAATAACGTGCTGGTAAATGTGATGCCATGATTACGATGATGGTTACTTGAATGACTCACGAAGATGACATTATCACGTTTGTGCTTTTCACAACGATAATTTGATGAATGGCTGCTGCTGCTGATGATGATGATGATGCAATGAACATATTAAATATTACAGTGGTGGCAATGATGACAGTGTTGAAGATGATGATGATACAAAGACACATTCTTTGGTTTGGGCAAATAAAAATAACGGAGACTAACAGAGGCCATCCATGTAAAGGAGGAAGACTTCAAAGGACAAAACGTAGGTCCACAGGAAGCAATCGCCATGACCAAAGAATGTAAGGAGTGAAAGAAGTTTGCGTAGCCTCATCGTCAGCCGCCGTTCGGCAGCTGGCGAAAGAGAAGTGAGATGGATGAAAAAGACAGGCAGGTAATTCAAGTTGAATGTTGTGAACAGCCACATTCATCAGGATATGTATTTATCCTGGAGGAATCCGATGAGCTATAAAGCTCTTTTTAACAGATGTCCAGTAGGGGCGGGTAAGAACGTTGCAACAACAGACGGTACAAACACCACGTGATGGTAGTGCAAAGAACAAGAGAGGTAATCAAATCACCCAAAACATAAACAAATACAACTCCCGTGCAAACGCTGAAGTTGCCGGCGTTGCTGCGCAATGCAAAGAAGCGCGGAAGCGCGAGGGCCGAGCGAACAGAGCGACTCATCAACGCGCATTCACAGAATGGGGTGGGTGGCTGGTGGGTGGTAGCTGGTGGGTGGCTGGTGGGTGGCTGGTGGGTGGTGGGTGGGCGGTGGGTGGGTGGTGGGTGGGTGGGTGGCTGGTGAGTTGGTGGTGGCTGGTGGGTGGCTGGTGGGTGGCTGGTGGCTGGTGGGTGGCTGGTGGGTGGTGGTTGGGTGGTGGCTGGTGGGTGGCTGGTGGGTGGCTGGTGGCTGGTGGCTGGTGGGTGGGTGGGTGGGTGGTGGCTGGTGGGTGGCTGGTGGGTGGTGGGTGGGCGGTGGGTGGGTGGTGGGTGGTGGGTGGGTGGTGGGTGGGTGGCTGGTGGGTGGGTGGTGGCTGGCTGGTGGCTGGTGGTTGGCTGGTGGGTGGGTGGTGGCTGGTGGGTGGCTGGCTGGTGGGTGGGTGGTGGGTGGCTGGTGGGTGGGTGGGTGGTAGGTGGTGGGTGGGGGGGCGCAAACACATCACACCGCTTGCCGAGCGACGCGTCGTCGTCTCCCAAGTGTCTCTGGAGAGAATCAGACTGCTGTCACAGCAATTAATGGACGTACGTTGGACTTCTTTTGCAGCGTACGTAGCCAGCCGTGCTCATCGGAGGGCGTACAGACATTTTGATTTTCCGCGGCATTTGAACGACCGGATTTATACCTTGCTGGTTGTTGCTTTTATTACAACAAAACGCGAGCTCGTTAGGGCGCGCTGCGAGGCTCACTCAACCAGGCGACAATTCGCGGAACACGATCCCAACGCAACTAAACAATTTAAGAGAGGTGGGGGAGAAGGGTTGTACTGTTTAATTTGTTATAATAACGACGGTAATACGAACCATACTTTTCAACTCGTTGTTAATACACTGCTCGCTAACGGCTTCCCACGCCATGCCGATCATGAGTGTTGTGTGACCATACTTCACCACATTGGTCAGTGGGAGTTGCTGAAGGGGGGGGCTCACGACCAGTTCTGATATCACTCTCCACTGATGTTAGCTGCAATCAGGAATCCAGCTGTCGCCGAGTTCGTAAGTGCAGTGCTCCAAACGTTGCATTGCCGCTCCACCCAATGATGTAGACTGCCATGGAAATAGTTCTCCACAATATTAGACCTGGTGGCAGTGAAAAATTAAACCATTATTTTAGTAATATGTGGGGGCATATAATTAGATTTCTCCCTTGAAAGAGAGCCTATTAGGCTCTCAATGGCCTCTAACCGGGCGTTATATTAGGGTCGTCTATCTTCCGTTAACGTTGTATAGGACCAGCTGTTATGATGTACATGATGATTATTGCGTGTGTTGTACGCGGGTACTGGTCTGCGTGTGTGTGTGTATATCGTTTGCCCAGCAACGTGCTCGGTGGCACACGAAGGTGGTCACGTAACCACAAACACGCAACTCCGATTCGCCCACCGCTGAGACAGTCAAAAGAGCACCGAGTCAGGGCCATTGCACACCCAAAAAAGAAAAACATGAGCTCATTATATTCCATCTTTTACAATTACAAGGCAGTCTTTTTATCAATGACACTGGTGCTATAGCGAGCCTATTTTTATACACAATTGCACACGTTGTATTTTGAACTTTAACCCCTTACTACCATTGAGAGCGTGCGAGCACTTCCCACGGCAGAGATGGAGCTAGGAACTCGGCCCATAACGCAGGTGCGAGGTGGCTTGCTACTTTTCAGGACTGTGAGAGCTGGCGACGGCTTGGGGGGGAGGCCTTCATCCAGCAGTGGATTGATCATGGCTACTGCTGCTGCTGATGGTGATGATGATGATGAACGCCGTGTATAATGCAGGCAGCTGTGCGTTTGCGCTCGCACTGTGCATATCCACGTTGCTACACCGACCTGTAATGTATGCACCGCACGTATAGAACAAGTGCGTGCTTCACTCGACTAACCCGAGATGCGTTTTCCTGTGTCGCTGTCGGGTGAAGGGATCCCTGGAGATGGATTTGAGGCTTCATCAGTCCACCGGTACGTAACGGCCTGAAGGGGGGTGGTGGGCGAGACGGGGGGGGGGGGGAGGCACGGCACCCCTCATCTGCTTCTTTCTCTTTGCCCCCTGCAATCCCTCTGCACCTCCGATTAGCACGGTTGGCTGCGTGCGGTGCGAAAGAGGTGCAACGTACATACGATGCACTCCTAATCATCCACCCTCTAGCGCCGAGGCTGCTAGCCAGGACAAGGAGGTTATTGTTCACTCAGTATCGTTCACTTCTTAAGCTGCTCTTCCCAAACACTCAGGCCATGATCATGTGTGTGCATACACAGCATTTCGTTTCTAAACGAACTGGTTAGAAAATCGAATCAACGAAGGAAAATGCAACCGATTGTGAGTTTAAATGTGCGTGCCGTTTAAAAAGTGAAATCTCACTGACCTCAAAAGCAAATAAAGCAATGGACAAAAAACAGCGGGGATGCTCACTACATGGAAGGAAAACTAATTTAAATCTGAACAGCTTTGCTCTAAAGCACAAGGGACAAAAACAACTTAGGGTTGCTTTTGTGATTGCTACAGTCAGTTAATTAACACTGAATCCAAGCGGTCTGGCCATGATAATTCCTCACGGCAGGTGTTGCCAAGACAGGTGATTTAAAGAGCTCATATGCTCGGCACAGTGACTCGGTGCATTACACGGGGAGCAGAGTTGCGTAACAATACGCGCGGGGTTCGGCATTAATCTTAATTTACCCTGACTGGAATCGAATATGACGTGATAAATAAATTGGGCCCTGTGTCCCAGTGGAGCGCTTTTATATTTATTTTAGGTATCGATCAAAGCGCGCGGGTGAATTTGCAATGGAATTGGTGATTTTATTGTTTTAATTGCGCAAAAAGCCTGCGGATCTATAGGGAAACGCGTGGGGAACACACCGAGGTATCCCGGACGGACGGTTCAGGCGGAGATGTCATAGACACACAGAGCACGGGCATCATTGGGGCTGTTTCCACTGAAATATCAAAGGTAGATTAGCTGCTACGTGCATCTAAAATCAGAGCGCATTTTATGTGGTTACTTTTTACGCACACAAAACTATTTTTTTATGAACGACCAATTTGGATGGAGTGGTAACGAAGTGGTTTGTTTCACTGTGCAGTGAATTTGACACCCTGAGATTGATTCATGGCCACGGTCAACATCAGTGGCGAGTCAAATCTGAATCGGACCATGGCCTCTCCTTGCACCAACCCACACTGACCAGCATGGTGACGTATGATTAAACAACCGTCAGGACCAACACCGCATATGCAGAACTTCATCCAGCAGTGGATTGCCAAAGGACTGTACATTATTATATTACAAACAATCGATTTACATTCGTAACAATTTAAATGCTCCTAGATAGGCCAAGGTCTAGCACATTTCATAAATTCACACAAGAGCAAAGTGGATTACAGTTCTAGCCCTTTCCACATCGCTCGTTGCACTCCCTTTGTTTGGATAAATGTATGATTTGGAACAGTAACAAAGCCATTGCGCGTATGGGGTGGTGGCTCCTAGGGTTGACCTCAGCCGTAGCAATGGAGGCTCTTGGCTGCCGATAGTAATTGTGGCAAGGGATTACCGGCAGCCGGGACTTACTGGCTGCATGTGGGTTTAACCGGCCCCGGTGCCTCGGCTGTCATTCGTGTTTACGTTATCATAACAGTGGAGATGTATGTATACATTTATTTATTGAATGACACTGTTCGGTTACGTGAATTCATAACCATTCTGATGAAAATTTGGGAATACATTTTCAGGGCATTGTCAGTGATACATAGAGTGTACATCAAAGGTAGCTCTGTCTCGTTCACCTAACTGGACTGGCTTCACAATTTGTTTTTCCTTTTGGAGTGTCTCCACCGTGAGTCAGTAGAGCACACCTTCGGAGTGGCCGGATGGAGTGCGCCGTCCTTCAGAAGGGACGGTGAGCGCTGAAAGCAGCGTGTTTGGCGTCTCCTGACGGGACATTTTTGTTGCATCTTCATCGGCCATCGCATTTTGTGTTTCATGGTCCATTTGACCGACTATAATAAGTCAAATTTACTGACATAAGCAAGAGGCCCTTTGTGGGCAACATTTAGAGTTACTTATAATGAAGCTGCGCAAGTATAATCAATCAATAAGAAGCGTTTATTTAACACAAGTAAATTGTTTCATATTCCGTCGCTTAAACGAATGTATGTTGTTTAGATCGTTGGTTAATAGAGGCGTGCCTGCGATTCAGCTTTCCTTGTTTGTAAATTTAATTGCAATCGTAATAGCGGGGTGAAACAATACAGTGGTTTTAGATGTATGAACACTCATAAAGAGATTGGCTGAACAATCTTAATAATAAACACGCCCCCGTGTTTGTGGATTGCGCCACGTTGTGTGAGGCAGTAGCACCTGAAACTAAATATCATTGTTATTATGCACAGTTCATTGACCTGAAGTAGAGAACAAAAGACCCTAATATCTCACCTTTTGTTTTGTAATAATAAATATCTATATAATTTATACGAGCGAGTGAAATAAAGGCATGGAAACAGGGTACGACAATATTTTATTGTAATTTTATTTCAGACAGCACACACCAGTGTTTGTTTCAGACACCAGTGTGGATATGACACGAAATCACCGATGAGTTAATGTAATACAAATATCATATATTAAAAACATTTAATTACAATCCACTGCTGGATGAAGGCCTCCCAATGCCATGTGGATGGAGGTTGTTTAACCTTGCTGGGCAATTTGGGTTTTGTGAAGTGAGGCTAAGGGAGTTCAGATATAAGCTCGCTGCTGGTGCCAATTGGGGTCGGAAATCGAACTCAGGTCGCTGGCTTCGCAGTTCAGTGCACGGGCCACTGCACCACCGCTCCACCCTCAATTCAAGAATACTGAACATTAACCGCATTGCATTGTTGATCGACGGGCGTGAAAAATGAATCGATGCGTGCACTGCGTCACCACTTAAAAAAATATTTGCATTTTGGAATCTCCACGGGGAGAAGGGGGGCTGTTTGAAAGTAGAGATTTTAAAATTGATTAAACATTTGAAGGGCAGGCTCGTTTTAAGTCAGCGTGCAGCTGTGAAAGCTCTTGGCCAACAACCGTGCAAGGCGTGCGTGGATGCGATGGGGAAAAATTACGGACAGGTCTTTGAAAAATATCATTTGCAAGGCATGGCATAGGAAAACCTATAACACATCGACGCATGAGGATGTACCGTCAGACACCCGCCGCTCATATTCAAACATGAAACGCTTTGCCAAGATAAGCTGAGCTCTTCTCAAAACACACACCATCAGTGAATATCCAAGCGGCCTTTGAAAGCCTCATATGTTGGAAGTTGGCTTTTTTTTATCAACATGGGTTATTTGCATTTCTTTTATGTACACGAATAGAGGACGATGTCTGTGTGTGTGGGGAGCGGTAGTGTGGCGGTTAGCGCTACGCTGCGCTATGAACCTGGCGACCCGGGTTCGATTCCCGCTCACAGCCAACACCACAGTGACGATTATCTGAACCAGTACCCGGCCTCCCCTAGGTCGACTCAGTCTCAAATGAGTACCTGGTGCGATGTATAAACATCGCCACTGGGGAGGCAAAGGCGGTCGGGCGTGGTGCTGGCCACCCACACCCTCGTGTACTGTTCCGGCCTTCATAGGTGCTCGCTAACCGCACTTGCCCCTACAGTCTGTTAAGGCTATACGGGGAACCTTTTTTTCCGGCTTGTTTAGTCACGCGTTGAGGCTCATAACAAGCACACGGCAACGCACGCGTGCGGTTTGTTTTGTTGGTGTGTGTGCGTTTTGTTGCGAGGTCCAGATTTTATACGACCCAAGTTATTGGCGAGTCGGGATTTGCCCCTTTTTCTCAGCACATTTGAATGTCCTTTTCAAGCGGTTAACGTAAATGAAAATCTGACTCATCATTCATTCATGAGAACAATTTGCACACGGGTATTAATGCATTATATATTTATAACGTTGCTGATGGAGTTCATGCAGGCCACCCATAGTTGGGGTTCTCTGAGGAACCGAATTCCAACAAATGTGACCAAATTCAAAAAGGCCCTACTTGGATAATTTGTTTAAGTACAATTTGTTATCGTATTTGTTCCCTCGTGGGAGGAAAACAAAGGTCTGGATAAACACTCTTTGGTTTTATTCGGTAAAGTCACGTAGATAAAATAAAACAAAATAAAAGAAAACAATTAAATCACGACGTTTCGGAGGCAACACAAGCTTCCGTCTTCAGGTGGAATAGTCAACGCAGAATATCTGTGTCAGGAACACAGTTCAGAGACGACCGGGATTATATACAGGTTAAGGGAGGGGGGGGTGGAGTCAGTAAGGGGGCGTGGGTGGGTGGGAGGGCTGGGTTAAGCAGCCTTTTGATAGACTACTGCACGAGAGTGGGTAAAACCCACCTTTTTGTTATGCTGCGTGGGGGTCGGGGGGAGGAAGAGACCTGCTTCATGTGTACAGCTCAATTTTTTGAAAGCGGCGGCAAACGGTTGTTCAATTATAAGGTAGTTAAAGTTTGATATACAACCACTGAGAAAAGGAAATGGCTGTACAAAAAATTGAAAGGCAGCTAACGTTTGACTTGATCTATAACATCTTTCCAGTGATTGCTCAATTTGAAACCATCCTCTCGGTTGAAGTTGTGTCTGTGTTTGTAAATCTGGATGGCCTCGTGGACAAATCTCTGCTAATAACCGGTAGGTTTGCAGAGCACCTTGGTATCGGAGAAAACAATATCATGATCACCCACAGCGTTGTAACAATAATCAGCCACGGCAGAAGAATTCGTTCTGCCGTGTTTCAAATCTGATTTGTGCTCGCGAATTCGGTCAGAGATATGTCGCTTTGTCTCCCCGATATAGCAGTCCCCGCAGGTACAACTCAATTTGTAAACACCGGGGTACTGTATGTCAGGTCTGGATAAAGCCTACACATGAGGGGGAAACACTCAAACCCACACGAAACAGCTCATCAATAGATCTACTTGCTATACTATCCCCATTGTTCAGGGGTTATAAATAGTACGGTTAAGTTTCAAGTATAAATACAGAGCGCAATTCAAGCGATGTATGAAAGAATTACAGTGACGCCAGGTGGATGGATCGGCGAGATGGTGATGAGGTGTTGATTGAGCAACAGCTGTGAGATCTGGCAGAAGGAAGGAAAGTTGCCGAGCGAATACATTACAAGGTCGCACTCATCACACACACATTGCCTGCCACAAATGAACCACAATGCTTTGCTGATCTCGTCAAGGAGCATAAACCATCACGTGAACTCCGGTCATCCTTACAGCGGCGTTTGGGTTAGCTATTGAACAAAGACGGTGGTCACCGCATCGCGTGCTTTCAGATGCGCTTCTGCAGCTGTCTGGAACGCTCTTCCTTCCGATATTAGGAAGCCACTGGAGCTATGCACGTTTACGTTTAGATTGAAAACTCATTTCTTTAGAACTGCTTTTTGTGTTTAGATTGTTGTCCTTCCACCACACCTCCGATTACCACGTTTGGCTACGTACGATGCGAAATAAGTTCAACATACGGTGTATATACCTAAATAAATCTAAACAATTTTTTTTATTTTACCAGATAAGACTCACTGAGCTATATAGCTCTTTTTCAGAAGCGACCTGGCCATAAATGATCGCTCAAACAAGTAGTTTATCACGTGGAAATGTATAGCAGCCAAATACTTTAAACGCATGTTTCTAAATGTGGAGGAAAAAACCGGAGGACCCGGAGAAAAATCCACGGGACCACGGGGAGAGAGACGCGGAAAGTCCACCGCAGCGCCCGACACACATTACCATAGCCAACACTTTCATCAGCCACGATCTCCATCCGCTTGTTGGCGGTGGAGAGGGGTATGCGAGTGGCGTCGTGGGGAGGAGGGAGAGGTGGGCACCAGCACGGCCGTTTATCCACGACTCCACGGCTGTGTGCGCGATGTCCACCGCAGTGGTGCGGGAGGTGGGCGGCTGGGAGGCCCCGGTGTTGGCGCTGGGCGCCCTCGCCATCGTGCTCGTGGCCGCCGCCAACCTCTGGCAGCTGTGGCGCTCGGGGGCCTCCACGCCGCGGTCCCCCTTCCCCAACTTCGACTGGCGATACCTGGAGGCCAAGTACGGGCGCGCGTGGCCCTCCGGAGCCCAGAGAGTAAGGAGTGGGGGGGGAGGAAGGTGGGGGGGAAGGTGGGGTATGGAAAGGTGGGGGGAACGTGGGGGGAACGGGGGGAGGTGGGGGGGACGGTGGGTTGGGGAGGGAGGTGGAGGGCGGGGTGGAAGTGGGGAAATACCTCTGGGCAATGCTGTGGTTGTTTTTTATTTTGCCATTCAATAAATGATCATCATTGAGCCATAACGTGCATCACTGCGAAAACCACACGCAGGAGATTCATCACCACGATAAATGCGCAATGCACTGACAGGTTATTCTCACATTTTCACCACCATCGTTAAGAGCGTGGTCGGGAACTGTGCATTGCCATCATCATCATCGTTTTAATCATAAACGTATGCATCATGGTTTTGAATCAATTATCGTCGTCATCATCAACATTATTATTTGACTCACTCGTCCAAACAAACGGGCAAAATACAAATACACAACTAACGACCCGCCAATTAAGAGAATGCAGACGCGGCTCGTAATGAATGAACGAAGCCGTGCTAATCCCCTTCCCGTGGTCTCTCACCGCGTCTTTCCCCATCAGTGCCACGCGTCCTCGGCCAAGCCGGCGCATCCGTCCCGCGAGCACGCGGTGCGGGTGGTGGACGGGGGACCGCCGTACATCCTGGACCCCGCCGCCGCCGAAGACGACGACGGCACGGACGTCGTCGGCGAGCTGAGCTCCACCGCCCTCGACAGCTCCCTGTCCCGCCGCGGCTCGCTCGGCCGCTACGGCTCCATGGGCCGCTCCTTCTCGGCCGAGTCCCTCAATTCGGTGTCGTCAATCGGCCAGGACTTTGGCTGCTCGGAGGGCCCCGCGGCGCAGCTCGAGGTGTGCGTGGAGATGGACGCCCACGCGGGCCTTCTCGCCGTCACCCTGCTGCAGGGCAAGGAGCTGGGGGAGGCCGAGGGGGTCCCCGTGCACCGCTGCTTCGTGCAGCTCGGCCTGAGGCCCGGGAACCGCGTGGCGTGCACCTCCAAGGTGGGGGGGCTCTCACCGGGACGTGGCCGGGGCCGGCCCAGGTTTCCTTCTTACCCCCCGCCGTGGTTTTTTTGTGAGCCGGGTTTCTGAACCTCGACTCTCTTGGCCCGCTGGACATAACCCAGCCTCATGGCTTTGGGCCACGACCGCCGTGAGATGCTGTGATTTTGTAGGCTTGGGCTGAGATGTGACGAGGAGATGGCAGAGACATGGATTTTGCTATTGTATTTGTGGAGAGATATCAGTGCGCGTCATTACATGTGTAGGGGTTTCTGCAGGCTCTCCAGTTTTCTCCCAAGGAATTGGCCAAACATCTCAACGCAGAAAAAAAACTCGATGAACATTTTAGCCATAAATACTATGTTTAAATTTCTATCGCGTCATTCATGCCAACAGCATCCCACAACAGATGTAATATTAATATTAAGACAACATCCAAATTCACAGAGACATAACAAAAATTCAAAGGGGCCTTGGTGCAAGATAATGAAAGGGTCCAACGGTAGCCCGGCACCGGTGCACCCAGCGCAATGGTCCAGGGTGGCACAGTCGAGAGTTTGCTCTGCTCCTACGACACCGCACGAGGATCCGACCCCGTGTGTGCATGCGCGCGCACGCGCGTGTGCAGGTTCACCACAGCGCCGCGTCCGTGCCGTTCGATGAGCATCTCGTGATGCCGCTGGATGCGGCCGCTGTGGACGACACGACGCTCGCCTTCACCGCGCTCGGCCTGGACAGCAACGGCCGCCAGTTCAGCATGGGGACCGCCGAGCTGAGGCTCGGAGACCTGGACCTCCCCGTGCGGCCCTTCAGCACCTGGCTCTACCTGCAGGACTCCAGCCAGGTCGGCTGCGTCTGCGAGCATTGGGATTCGGCTCCATAAATCCGGGCCTACACGTGGACCATCAGTTCCGCGGCCAGATCGCTCTCACAAACGCGTGACTTAATTAACATCTGCAAGCACTCGACTAACGCGAGAGGGAATGTATTATTTAGCATCGATATATGTTCGCGCTATGCTGTCTAATTCTCATGCGGCGCAATTGTTTTTGTTGTTGTTCCGATTTCCCGGACGCGAGTGAATCAATGCGCAGTGACATAAACTAAGAGCCGTTATGTGAGCAAGGGTTGCACCGTGTGCGCGAAAACCGCACAGGTTTATTTTTGTTAAATACACACACGCGCGAAAAAGACAGGCAAGAGCATCGCTCCTGAATTCTAATGTTGTTCTAAAAGGGATAGGAGGCTGATGACCCATCACACAAACACAGTCGAGAATATTTATTTATTTTACGTAATATTCTACAATTACCACATGATGCAGATTATTTTATTCAGATTTTTTTCATTAGCTCCATTTGCTGTACTTGTATTTCATCTGTTTTGCTCTTGTCATTTTGGTGACCCCTGGTCACCCTTGCCAGTGAGACTTAAATAATCTTGGTCTCTTGAATTATCACCTGGTTAAACAAAATAGCACTTGAAAAATAATAGGTTTTACAGTCTCTGGCAATAAAACAGGTATTGATATTCTTGGTGTTTTCGGTAAAGTCACGTAGATAGAAAAAAAAAAAAATTGAAAATAATAAAAGCAAAAAAAGCACAATAACTTTTTTTTATAATTTAATTTTACAATTTTTTATCGTGTTTTTTTGCCGTGATTATTTTTTGTATTTTTTATTTGTATATTGAATCAAATTTTATTATTTTTATTTTCTATCTCCGTGACTTTACCGAAAGAACCAAGAATATGAATTCCTGCAGTCACGAAAGTTTTAAGTCAAAATAAAACAGGTGTTAAAATTTAGATTTAAAGCTTTCGTGACTGCAGGAATTTTATTGTTTTATATTTTTATTATTTTATTGTTTCCCTTCTACGTAACTTTACCGAAAGAACCAAGAATAGGTGTTAAAATGTTCAAACACCCAATAGAAACATTTTGCAAGGAATCAAGTCTGCATTAACCACACACGATGCTTGTGATGAACATGCAAACAAACATACTCTGAAACTGATTGGCTTACATCAGAGACAGACTTCTTTAGGGCCTAGTCTCACCACCAGTGTCAGGCCAGAGAACGCCAAAAGGCGAACAGTACAAAGACAATGCCACTATCAGAGCATTCATAGCTCGGTGTGAGCAGCTATATCATGGGACCTTTTTACCAGTATCAAAGTACGAAAAATAAGAATAGGTTTTACCCTTTCTGGCAATATTTATATATGTTATTTGTCCGCATCCGAGCGAGCAGTTGCGGAACAAAGCAATTAAACAGCGCATTTGGGATTTCAACGACCAAAATTACTGAGCGGATTCCTCTAAAAAGAGTCTCTCTGCTCGAAGCAACTGGTTCATCAACCGCTCGTAACCGGTTGCAGACGTCCACGCATCAGCGTTTCAGTTGCATGCAACCAAGTTTGCGCACAGGAGGAAAAGGCAAATGAAAGAAACTAAAGAATACTTGCAAATGTTCGAGTTATTAAGTTTACAATAGAGTATGTGTAATCGTACGAGTGATTGTGTGACATTCCAGGGACATGACTAAAGTGCTATAATAGCACGTCTGACCGTAAAGCGTCAACGTCTGTTCTTCTCATTAACATAACTTTAAACGCTGTCAGCCTGGAATACAGCCTAGGTTACTTATCTACAAGCTAAGACACTGTGCGTGCTTTGGGATGTTGCTTCCTTGAAATACGTAAATACTAACAACACATTTGTTTTAGTGATTCGCTTACCTTGCCTATACTTTGCATTCCTATCGGTTGTTTTTCGTATCGTTTGTTGTTTTAACTTTCCAACCCGTCCCCTATTGGACATCGGTGAGAACAAAAAGAGCTTCATAGCTCATCGGATTTGTCCAGGATAAATGAACATTCCCGACTCTGACTTTACCCCCTGCGGTTCTTGTCATCGCCGACGTGGGCGACGTTTGACTCCGCGGTGGTGCAGGCGGAGTGCTGCGGGGAGGTCCTCCTCTCGCTCAGCTACCTGCCCACGGCGGAGCGGCTCACGGTCGTTGTGGTCAAGGCAAAGGGCCTGGAGTGGCCCCAAGGACGAGAGAGCGGCGGTGAGGCGTCGCTCTCCAACGTTCGCGATACGTGCATCTGATGTCTTTTCATTACAATGTGTAACAAGAAAAATGTTGTTCCTGGGTAGTGTTATTTTCTAATTGCTTATGCCTCAAACGTACAGAAAATTGATATTATCCCCCCACAAATTTTGCTTTTGTGACCAGGACACTGATATTTTGAAATGTACCTATTTTCAATGAGAAAACGTGTGCATTCCTTCACGTAAAGTCTTGGTCACAAAAGCAAAGTTTGTGGGGAATAATCGCTATTTTCTATACTTTTGAGGTTTAAGCAATTAGAAAATAACTTACTATCCCGGAACAAAAAAACGTGTTACATCGTGTTATTATATGCTGATGGCGAGCGGCGAAGAGTAGTGCACGGCGCTTCTCTGCTCTCCTGCCTTCACTAGCTCGCGCTGACCAGTATGGCTCATGTACATTATGGGAAGGTGATGAGTGATGATGTTGTGCTGTTGGTAACCCCATCCATTCATCCACACTAACCCGTGTGTGTGTGTGTGCGCGTGTGTCTGTCTGCCATCTGGGAAGCGGTAGTGTGGTGGTTAACGCGCTGCGCTACGAACTCGGCGACCCACTTACTGTCAACACCAGTGACGATTATCTAAACCGGTCCTGGGTCACCCCCTAGGTTGAGTCAGCCTCAAAATCAGTACCTGGCACTGTGTGTACTGGGGAAACAAAGGGGGTCGAGCGTGGTGCTGGCCACCCACCCACTCGTCTGCCGTTCCGGCCTTCTTAGGTGCTCACTGACAGCACTTGCCCCAAAAGCATGTCAAGGCTATATGGGAGATATTTTTGTCTTGCGTCTGCCATCTGCCTGGCTGCACGCAGCCCCCTTTGTGAAGGTGTACCTCCTGCAGGGCGGCCGCAAGGTGAGCAAGAAGAAGACGGTGACAAAGAGAGACGAGAGGAATCCCGTCTACAACGATGCCATCATCTTCTCCGTGCCCGCCAGCACACTGCAGGCGAGCGAGCACTACTCTTCTGACGCTGACAGACGCGCATGCCCTGTCCTGCTTGACAGACTATTGCATCGAGTGGTGTTTACGAGCACCTGTACGGGCCAACGCAGCACACAAGGGGATGGGGCGGGGGGGAGGCACCACACGTTTGGGTATGGCCCTGGAAGACGATACCACAGGGCGATTTCTGGATTCACTTCTGAATTAGACCGGTCACTCAAAGCTATGAGCTGCTCATTCATTCAAATCCAATATCTTTTCACATTGTTTTGAATCAGTCCATAGCACTCTCTCTCTCTCTTATGTACGGCTGTATGTTGAACTTCTTTCGCACCGTACGTAGCCAACCGTGCTAATAGGAGGTGCGGTTGAATGAATAGCAACTTAAAGTCTGTGTCTGGATCAGTTAGCAGCCAGGAAACGGCTTGGGTCGATGGCTGCAGGTGATGTGTGGTGGAGTGCTCTGTTTACTCTCGATGCTTCCACAGCGGTTCACTGCATGGTCGATGGTCTGGTCAGTGTTTATGCAACCACACGCAGGGCTATCTTTTGTAGACCAATGGGTGTACAAATTGGACAGCAGCATCAATGGTGGTGCTCGACGTAAGTGAACCAAGTCAAAGCGTAGGGCCCAATTAGCTCAGGCGTGGGGAGGGGGGAGCTGGATTAATGACAAACATAGGGGTGTATAAATATCAGCTCCAATTCATATCGTGATAAACATATCAAGCGAATGCATCTTCTCTCATTCACTACAGCTCTATTTACGTCTACATTTATCTAACCGCATCTCTATCGCTTGTCGATATCTCTTCTGTCATCTCACTAGGATTTTCATTGGGTAGCATGAAGGTCATCGTCACAGCTTTTCGAACATTTTGCCAATATCGTTTTTTTTTTCTCCACGCAGGACATCTCCCTGCGAGTGACGGTGGCTGACCACAGAGAAGGCATGAGAGCCGAGGACATCGGCCACGCGGTCATCGGCCCGCAAAGCTCAGGGGTGGCACTCGCACATTGGCAGCAAATGCTGGCCACGCTGCGCAGGCCCGTGTCCATGTGGCACCCGTTGCGTAAATCCCACGCGTGAGCCACAGCGCTCAGCCTGGGACAGGCGGCTCCAGCCACCACCCAACCACCCAGCGCCAAGCGCCCACCGTCGTGCATTCGCACGGCGGGAAGACGCGATCGCCAAGGGGAGATACCACCTGCAGCCAGAACGCTGAAACGACAGCATCTCGCATCCCACCCCCCCCATAGCTCGAGAGACTCGCTGATGATTCGGGCGCGGGGCCCGGCGGTGTGGGTCGGGATGGATTTTGACTGCACGTCGTCGGCGCAACTCAATCGTTACGGTCCCCTGCCCGACACCCGCGTTGCTCGGTGGGCTTTGCTCACGCCCACGAGCAACGAAGCAGAGACTCACGAAACTCAGCACTTTGTCCCCGGTAATAAGTGAAGTCCAATGTGTTATTGCAAGGGTGTCTAGCCAGGAGTGAGCAATGATATTAGTTCGAACATTCACGTCCTCGCCAATACGATAGAATAACATAAAATAGGACAGAATCCCACCGGTAACTTTTCAACCTTTGTGGTTTTTTTTTATTAAGTTTGACTCCAAGGTTACGTATTTTATTGATTTTAAATAACGTCTCATCTCAGCTGATAGCTCAGTGATGTTATTCGACAAAGCCCATTGAAGATTTCAAGAATGTATTGTACCACAGACTTGGTTAAGTGTGACTGGAGGTAAAACGTTCTGTAACAACACTACCTATAAATATGTCCACTTTAAATGCGAGTTTAGGATTTATTCGTTCATTTGGTAATTACTTTATAGTTGATAACAGATGGCCCAGTTGTAATCCTATATAATTAATATTTGCTCATTTCCCCAGTTACCGTTTGTGCATCTTTCATTTTCTTCCATCAGTTACCCTGTGTACATTACAATTTACCCCATTCCAAATCGTCCATTTACATTGCTGTGTAAGTTTTAATCGGTCACCTTTGCTCCCACTTCTATCAGAGAAGGAACAACAGGAGACCTTTTGCCTTCTCATACACGCGGAGCATTCAAGAACGACAACTCTCACCACTTCACCAAGGTGTTGTCCGGAGTCCACAAGGCAGAGGGCCTCACAGTTTAACGCCGCATTCGAGCCACGTGAAATAAAGAAATGTCCACTCATTAGCGAGCTAGAGGACAAAAAGCAAGGCAATTATTTTACAGTTGCAACTAAGGGAGTGATAACTTGAATTCCACGTATTCCGAGGTACTGTGATAAGCACGGGTGTGCGCTGCTCCACAACTCCTTTGGTGACATTCAATTACACAAGTCATAGTTTTTTATCACTTGTATGCGTTAATCACAAACAAAGGGACAGAGAAGAGTGCAGTCGTTGGGCAGTGTGCACTCAGCGCATCGGGCACAACACGATTGGAAAGAAAACGATTCAAGTGGCAATACCCAAAGCCAAATGAAGTGCACGTGTGCTAATTTAATCAAACAACATTTAATTAATTCTCTAATTGCCAAACACAAACCATTATAGCAATGTGCAGGGTCTGCCTGCATTCGAATATGCATGAGAACGTCCTCATTGTGTGTGAATAAAATTTTTAAAGAGGGGGCCTATGCTCAGTACCATGGTATATGCATGAGAACGTCCTCATTGTGTGTGAATAAAAAATTTAAAGAGGGGGGCCTATGCTCAGTACCATGGTCACATCATTGTTTTGGTTTCCAGTGGTTAAGATACATTTATCATTCACCTGCTAAACAGGGATTTTAAGCAGGGGCTGCAATGTGACACTGCTATACCTCTTGCACTGGCACATCTGAGCCCCAACGGCGTGGGGCTCACGTTGTACGTATGTATATTGAACTTCTTTCGCACCGTGCATAGCCATCCATGCTAATCGGAGGTATGCGGGGAAGGACAACAAACGAAGCAGTTCTAAAGAAAGGGTGGTTTTTCACTGGCCAAGAAAACGGACTCTGGCCTCACAGGACATCTGAATTAATCATTATGATCCAGACGTGCGACTCGCGACCCATTCATTACGTGTGATGACTTGGATCCTCCAGTGGGGAAAAAAACACCTATAGCGCCTCCTGTAGATGCGATGGACAGGCTCGGCATGGCCCCAGCGTGGCTTGAATGTGGGAAAAAGAGGTCCAGGGCAGAGCCAGGATTTTGACTTTGGGGGGGCTGACTTCAATATTCTGAGATATCCAGTGTTTATGTTTTCCAATGGGCGCCACAAATGTATAAAACAAATTTTATTGGATTTGAACGCGGAGTTTATTAATAAGTCGGAGCCGCTGATGTGGCTAATAAGTTCGATAAGTTCAAAAGGCTGCCGCTCAAGCAACCTGCAGGGCAGCACGAGGTGGCAGCCTGCAGGGCAGCACAAGGTGGCAGCCTGCAAGGCAGCACACGGTGGCAGCCAAAATTTTGCAGCAGCCGGATATCCGGTTATCCCGATTACCGACTTTCACAAAATTTCAGGGGGGGCTGAGCCCCCCCAGCCCTCCTGTAGCTCCGCCCCTGAAGAGGTGTATAGCTTTGGTTCTATTCGGTAAAGTCACGTAGGTACAAAATAAAACAACAAAAATCACGACGTTTCGGCCACAACACAAGCGGCCTTCATCAGGTGAAGGGGACCAGACTGTCTCGAAGACTGCGCTGAGACAGTCTGGTCCCCTTCACCTGATGAAGGCCGCTTGTGTTGTGGCCGAAACGTCGTGATTTTTGTTGTTTTATTTTTTACCTACGTGACTTTACCGAATAGAACCAAAGAGTATGGATCCTTGCAGTCACGAAAGCTTCAAATCTAGAAGTGTATAGCTCTGTTTTTGTAAGCAGGCAGTCCTTGCAACAATGCACTATTGCGGTTAAACACAAGCTTTCAAATGGAATCTCTAATATGGACACAATTTTACTCGAACAGAACCCACATATGCTGAAACTGGTCTTTATGGCAAACTGTAAATGGTAAAATTTTGTGCTGTTTTAAAAATATATATAATACTGGTGCTTAATATGGTAGTTTCTTAAACGGTATTGTATTCAATACTAGACACTCAAAATATTCCAATGGAATACTACAGACAGTGATACGGTGCAGCCCTATAACACCTGTTTTACATGGTGGTATCCCATCTAATCACGGTCCAGGTTCAAACCCGATTAGGTTCCAAGACTAAGTGAAACGGGCACATCCTATGCGGATTGGTCAAAGGTATAAAATGATAAGTGAGCCAAAATTTACTTTTCTACAAATAATGAAACGAACTTTGTGGAATGCTCACAGTTAATTCAGAGCTAGTGATGAGAATTCGACTGTCACTGTGGCACTGCCAAGTCCGATATCCACTGGTGGTGTTTGTTTTACTGACCCTGGCGGAATCACGGGCTGGATTGGACCTGGCAAAGTTGGAAATTCACTGACGACTTTTTTTTTTACGAATGACAAATTTCGCAGGCTCTAGTTACAGTAGTCGCGTTACATGTCAGCTCCTCGATGTATCAAATCCATGCGTGAATGTTAAGAGGCAGGGAAACATCAGCTAGGTAAACAAACTATTATGAGATAATATCCAGTTTCGATCAATTCTGGGGAGTAACATCTGCACTACAATGTTTTGAATGTTGTAATGTAGACGTTGCGCATTGAAAGTTGATACGGTAGTTATTTTGCTGTTATAGACAACTTTTACCTACTGAATGTCTTGTAATAATGTATGGTATAATGATGTATGGTAGATGATATAACATTTCCTTGATTTTATTTTGGAGAAATATATTTAACGATCCATATTTTATAAATAATGTACATTTAAATATTGTGTACGTAAAAGCTGCTTTGGAAATATACCATATACACGATGCAGAGGTTTACAATGTTTTCATTTGTATGAATATCTTCAACATCATTAATATCTACAACGCTCACACAGCACTATAATTTACAGGTGTCCTGCAAATTTTGTTCTGCATGAATGTAATTACCTTGTCTGATGGTGTAAGCACTTAAATGCCATCAGCAGTGGGATGGTGGCTTCTTTCACGAGCTTGTCATCCAGTGCAGTTCGCGAGCAAATCTTTAGTTTAGTCTGCACCAATTTTGTTAAAAAAGAAATACATCTGTCACCTTAAGACAGCTTGCGTTGAGGCTGAAAAAAATACATTGGTCCTTGGGCCAGACTAGATATCGGCATGACCCAAGGTGGCAAAACGTCAATGGTGCCATTTTATTTGTTACACCAACAGAAGTAAAATAATACATTGATAACCTTTCCAAGTGAGCAGCTGTTTAATTATTCTCGCAGGAAACCTGTTTTTGCACATATCGCAATCACGCCTATTTGCCCGGACGTTACAAATAAAACATTCCAACACCTCTCCTGTTAATTAAGACAATAAATAATTTACGAAATGGATGTTTGTCCCCAAGGCATGTATTTCATACATATTATTGCATTAATTTGCGCTTGTTCTTCAATTTCAGTGACTTAGTAAAGTCTGGAATAGATTGGCGCTATCTGTTTTCCTTGTGTTTCTAGCAGCTTGTTTGCTCACGATCATTTATTGGTAGGTGAGGCAAGTACTGGTGGTTCTGTATTATTTCTGTTCAGTAAAGACATCTAAAGTGCTAACTTTTCCCTCAATGTATTGTTAATGTACCTGTTAAGATGATTAGTTAAGGCCAGGGGTTTAACTAAAAATCTTAACAGGTGGCTCGCTATTGGAAAGGTCCGGCATGTTGCGAGTTCATATCCTGGTTGGGGGTTGACTCAGCCCATCATCTCTATGGGATCAATAAAATGAGTACCACTTTGTAGGGAAGTCAACAGTGGTTTTGTCCTTTGTATAGACTCACCACCCCCCACACCCCGCCATAGGAATGTGGAATTTACATCGCTGTCTCAGGGCTGTAAACGGGAGATGAGCACCGCCTCAATTCTCATCTGAGCAGGACATCGCTTTGATAATTGTTCAAACGTGGCAATGTATACATCTAGCAGTATTCACCACATCGATGGCTTGTCGAATTCAATAGAAGTTAGAACAGGTCAGTGCCCATCAGCGGGCCTTCAGGATGCTGTTTGTTCCTCCACGGTAACGTTGCGGTCAATGCGGAGTACACGCAGTGCCAGCCGCTGATCTCGGCCCCCGACAGGGGGACACAGGCACGTGCATGCCAGACCGGTAGGGTTGCCACCTCTGAGGTACGTAGAAATAAATCTGGGACGTAAGCGCCACGGGCAGAGGAATACCTCACAATTCCCAGAGGAGGGGATGAACCACACATAGAGGCACCGTCTTTACTGTGGCAACGTTACACAACTCACAAAAAAAACTGGGACTTTTAGCGTTCCAGAAGACTTAAGCAGATTTCCCTGGCCAGCGGTTAACCTGAACAAAAGGAATGTTCCTTGGAAAACCAGGACAGGTGGCAACCCTTGGTGACCGGCTAGACCAGACATGGGCAAAGTATGGCTTTTTAATCCGGCCCGCCGAACTTGTCCAAATATTATTATTAAATAAAAAATTCCCCTTCTCCTGTAATGCCCCCATTTCCCCATTAGATGGCGCACTTTGACCGGGAGTTACAATATGTTTTTGTATTGTTCATGTTTGTGCAATTTGTTAAATTGCCTTGCAAATAAATGCTTTGCTACCTGTTAAAGGCAAATCCTTTCATATAATTATTTTTACATGTCATTTATATTAGTTCACACAAACACTCCATCCATCTGTTCCTGGCCCGGCCCCTCTGTCAAATTTCAGAACCCATTGTGGCCCGCGAGTCAAAAAATTTGCCCACCCCTGGGCTAGACTCCTTGACTTCACGCTCAAATTACGTCTGGGACCCCTGTCAGAAAGGGCTCCTCTCGTCCAAGGAGGCGGAAACTGACCGTGAATGATAATAACAATGACAATAAACGCATCAGTTCAAACCCCGGCGTGGATCTGCTTGGGCTGTCCCGTGAATTTCCGCGCCTGACCATCTCCTGGGACGGTCGGGCAAGTCTGGGGGAGCCCAGGGCCACGTGGCCCTGGTGGTGGCCTGGAAACGGCGTGAGTCCTCGATAGGTCCATGCAGCTTGGAGAAGACGGTGATGACAATAGTGGGGGAGCAGCGGAGTGGGGGAGCAGCGGGGTGGGGGGCGGGGTGGGGGGCGTGGGGCGACCAATTCCCTCCCTGGCAAGAAACAAAGATACCCCACGCGCTAGCCAGCTCCGTTTTGTTTCGGACAAAAAAAGATCCAAACTACGTGGATACAATTGCACTATCATGGGGGGGGGGGGCGGTGGGGATTTCGTTTATGCCTGAAGTTTCGTCGCCGCAGCACCGACAGTTGGGTTTACGACTAAAGTCGTGCACGCTATTTGTGTTTTCTTGGCTGCACACCAAAAAGGAGGTTTCCAAAGAAGAGGTTTCCAGCAATGAAGATAAATGATGCTGCAGCCCAGTACGAAGCTGCTGTGAATCAGTCATACAATCAGCTGTTCCTCTTCATCAGGATGGAGCTTTTTGGAAATCCTCAAGTGATGACAATGACTGATCTCATTTCTAGATTGGTTGCTTTAATGAACTCCCGAGGCATTGTCCAAGCCAAGGAATAAACAAAGAAGCACATAAAGCGAAAGCTGGCGAGTGCATTTGCTGGAGCCTTGCATGCACATCTTCCCTGATGGGAAAGGAAAACTCTTCCTCTATCCAGATAACCTGTCCATGAGGGAACTTGCCAAAGAAAATTAGTCTCTCAAAAGGGAGCCACAGACCCTGAAAAGTGTCGGTGCTCAAGATGTTATAGCCAAAGCAGCCATCAAATTGAGAGAGGATGAGGCAGATATAAACCTGTTCAGCCACATGATCCTGGTGGCTGAAAGCAGGAAGGTGAATATGAAGGATGTCCTTGCCCACCCACTGGGCCTACTGCCATGGACACTGGCAAATGCTGATGTGTCCCTACGAAAAACAAACAAGGCTGCCCTTGCAGAGAGCTTGAAAAGAATGTGTCTCCTGCAGAAGACATCCCAACCCCATCTACTTCCATTATTGATGGGATTAGCCTGGTCCAAAACATGAATGGCAACAACAAAACCTTTGCACAGGTGGCAGAGTCAGCCTTGACCCAGGTCCTCCACGAGGGGGCACAGAGTGAGAGGATTGATGTTATTTTTTATGTCTACCGACAGACTTCGATCAAAGATGCTGAACGACTGAACCGGGGTGCAGACACCACTCTCCAGTACAAGAACCTTGGAGGGGGACACCATGTCCAGCAGTGGAGAAAATTCCTGTGCGGTCC